TTTTTTTGGATTGAGTAAAAAAATATTAGGTTTCACTGTACATAAAAATAAAATATTTTAATGGAAATAAAAAAAAAAAAAACCCGAAAAAGCAGTAAATTTCGTTTCTTTACAACATTTATTTTATCAAAACCAGTTAGTGCAAATGTTTTTTTTAAAAGGGGAAAACCCAATCTATGCGTTTAGTTATAAGTACATTTAAATCCCTTTAAGAAAATCAACCATAAACAAGTGTTAAATTTAAATTATTTAAAAAAAAATATTAAAAAAAAAACAACCATAAAACGAATGTTTAAAAGCAAAAAAATTAAGTTTAAATAAGTATAAGATTTTAATACAAGAAGACTTCTTTTTAATCAACATTGAAAATTTTTTTTTTTCATAACAACATTGTTCAATTTAAAGCTATTTTGTTTCAAAGACTAACAATAGTTTTTAATGTCATTTTAAAATTAATTACAATGAAGTAAAAACGCAACTGACGTAATTTAACTTTTAACAATGTAAATATCTTTATTGAGTAAAGTTACATTTATTCACGTTTCGCTTTTCTGTTACGCAGCGAAATCTCGTAACAAGGCCTGATATATATATATATATATATATATATATATATATATATATATATATATATATATATGTATATATATATATATATATATATATATATATATATATATATATATATATATATATATATATATATATATATATATATATATATATATATATATATATATATAGAGAGAGAGAGAGAGAGAGAGAGAGAGAGAGAGAGAGAGAGAGAGAGTGATTCAGAATGAGAGAATTTTCAAAACAAAAATACGTCTCGTTAAAATTGGTGCAAATATATAAAGTAGGTTTTAAAGCATACAGGGCATTTTCTGACCACTCAAGACCCTCCCTCAAGGCTCATTTTTGTGAAAAAAATGTAAATTTTTTGTCAAAAGTTGCTGTTTTCAGTGACGTTAAGAGAGTGTCTAATATAAACCATGTTGGCTGAATTAAAAAAAAAGGGCCTAGACTACATATATTTTGCATTTAAAATCATACGTGTTTTTGCTGTGGTTTTATTACCGAGCATTTCACAAAATTGGTGAGTTTGTTGTGATACTAAGAAAGCATTTGGAATATGCAAATACATTTTTTCTAATATAACAGGACCATTGAGCGGGCCTTCAAAGTGAAGGAGGGGGGCATTTTTCAATTTTATGTATAAAAAAAAGGTCCTCGAAAAAAAAAGGAAGACATGCCCCCTCTCCCTCTCATCCCCCGGTGTCGACGGCCATGTGTAATAAAAATATTTTTTGGTTGATAATATTGTAAATTGCTTGTAACTTCAATTAGTAATGTATTTGTCTTACCTCTCCTCTCACTTATCTTCAATTTTGTAATCAGATGCCTTTAAAGATGGCATTTTTAAAGATAAAATTGATTTGGTGATTAGTGTTTTATCTTTATCAGGAACTTTATAATCTAGAAGCAAAAGAGGTATCAAAGTTGAGTCTAAGTACCAAGAGTGTTTTAATATTGAGTCAATGACTTTATCTACAGCTTCTTTTACTTGGCAAACATCTTTATACAGATTCATTTGATGTAGAGCTGTATTATCAAGTTATGGGGCTTGAATAGGATTGTGGCTTTGCAAGTACCATGAAGCATAAAACAACAAAAAAAACCCAACAATTTGTTCTACTTGAGCTTTTACGTCTTCCTCTTTTATAAAAAAATCTAGTTGTTTAAATAGCAGATGTAACTTCAGTTGTTTAGATAGCAGATGTAACTTTGTATAATAAAGAGCTGAGCTAAGAAATCTTGCATGATAAAATGCACCTGGTTTTTTTACTTAAACAATTCCTGATTTCGATAAATAAATAATTACAAGCTCTGCTTTTCTGTCTTCCCTAGCAATATTTTTCTTTTTAATATATTAAATTAGATGCAATATTCGAGTGCATCTGTTGCTGCTTTTTTGATTACAGTACTAGCCTTTAATGATTAATCAAACCTAAATATGTTTTCAATATTTTAATGAAGCTCTGGATTGTCAAACTTATTTTTTAATCTTTTAAAAAAAAGATTTTCTGGTCCTAACTTTTTATTCATGAGTAACATGTTTCTGAAAATGACTTATTTTAAGCTCTGTAACATGGTGCCTGCAAGCAAGCTGGAGAATGTATTTACCTAAATCATAGGTAATTCTATTAACAATCCCTTTCGAAATGCCAGTATTTGTTGCTGTTGTGTCAAAGCACAATCTACCAACATTTGATTTAATACCATATTCATCTAGCAACTGCATTATCCCTTTATATTGATCGTCTCCTGAAGAGGATGGTTAAGAAGGCATACCCAACAAGTGTGATTCGCCATTAAAATTTACTAGTACAGCTAGTTGCTCGCATTTTAGTTCTTTCCTTTAATTATCTCAAATATTGTTTTTCCATCAAAATGAATTATACATGGGGATGTAGATAAACTTCTTTAGGAACATTTGAAATTTCTTTATTTTCTCTTTTCATTCTTCTAACTGCAGTTGAGAGACTTGATTTGATAACGTTCATGTCTACTCCAGCAGCTTGAACAACCACCATTGTAATTCTCTGCAGAACCATAGGAGAGATGTTATTAACAGTTACCATTAAAGCAGCATTTCCAGAATAAATATCTTTAGGAATGTTGGCCCGATTCTTTGTACTGCTTGGTTTATTTTTTCTTTTTATCCATTCGCCTGGCTCGAAGTCAAAATCAGAAAAGTTATTTGAACTTAGTTCATCATTACTGCTAACGTCTTCTTCGTAAAATTTTAAGATTTTACTCAGTGATCCATTTTTCATTGCATTTTTGTACTTCTTTATATTTAATGATTTTACCTTATATAAAAATAAATTTATTGGTTATAAATTGTGACAAATTTATTTAATAAATTTATTAGCTATAAGAGTGACAAAAACAAAAAGTTAGAGCATATTTAATAAATTTATCAAATATAAAGAGTATATTATTTAAAAACTAAATGTGTGGATGAGAATCAACATAGTGTAAGTCCAAAAACAAAATAAAGTTAGTTAAGTTAATATTTTATATACTAATGCTTCACTCCATATAGTAAAGTAACTCAATAGTTAATCTACCTTGAGAGCATCATATAATAAAGGTCTGACGCAAAACTGCCTAAATATTTTAAAAAAATAAAACTTACGCTATGCAAATTCTCACAACTAAAACATAATCAAATTACTTTCTTAGTATATTTAGTGTCTAAAGGACCAAAATGATATAATCTTGGACTTTCTTGATCTTTTAAGAATTGTAAATCTTTGATTTTAGATTCATTGGATCTTAGCCTGTCACTTTGAATAAAATCTTATAGTTCTGGAATTCCTATCCAAAAAATACAATTAACAAAATTTTCAAATCCTATTTAATTTTTAATATCTTGTTTTGAGTTTCTTTTGACATTCTTTAATAAATTACAATATTTTTGTTCAAGATTTTTTAAACTTCTTCAAATATTTGCGTTGCTAATAATTGGAAACCCTGTTTTAATCCATGGATTTTATTTTCGCCATGATACATTCACATTCAACTAGTTGACACCTATCAACCTTTAAGTTTGACTTTGTAGGACAATATAGAGTATCCAACTTTTTTGTAATTCTATTTGGCAAATTTGATTGACAATATTTAAACTGTTGCAAGATATCCATACCTGATGGAAGTTGCATTCCTAAATCATATTGGTTTTTATTAAAATAGTATTACTAATACTATATAAATAGTATAAATAAGCGCGCATTATTTATCTTAGTGTAATGAATTATTGAACGTTGAAAACTAATAGTGTGATGAATTGTTGTCGATATTGAGATCAAGATGTGTTTTAGTGACCATGACTTTCTTTCAGGTAAATACAAAATATCATAAAACCGAATCGATAGCTGTACATTATATTTATTTCTATGCAATATTTATTTCTATGCAATCATATCAATACTTGTTCAGTTACTTAAACTTTTATTTTGAATTTTAAAATTCAAAATCAAAAATGTAAATTTCAAATTTTAAATCAATGTAGTGGCTTTAAATTAGTTGTTTTTTTATTTAAAAATAAATTCATATAAAACATTAGTAAAAGAAGTGTAATGGTCTTTAGTAAAAGAACATGAAGTGTAATGGCTATTTATTTTATTTTGGAAAATGGCAAGCGGAGGGGGATACTGGAATGTCAAGGAAACTTACCTTCAAATATGTAACTTATTAAAGTAGCAAGCAATGTACAATATTTTTAACCAAGAAACATTTTTATTATACTAGAAAAAATGTATTTGTATGTCCAAATGGTTTCTTAATATCACAACAAAAGTCATAAATTTTGAGAATTTATGGATAGTTTAAAAAATAAATCTTGGTAATAAAACAAAAAAAAATATATGTATGATTTTAAATGCAAAATATATGTAGTGTAGGCCCTTTTTTTTTATTCAGCTAAATTGGTTTATATTAGACCCTCCCTAAATTTTTGTGAAAAAATTGACATTTTTTTCACAAAAATAAGCCTTTAGGGAGGGTCTAGAATGGTCAGAAAGTGATCAGTATGTTTTAAAACCTATTTTCTATATGTTTGCACCAAATTGGACGAGATACATATTTTTATTTTGAAAATTCTCTCATTCTGAGGCACCCTAATATATATATATATATATATATGTATGTATGTGCATATATATATATATATATATATATATATATATTTATATATATATATATGTATATATATATATATATATATATATATATATATATATATATATATATACATATATATGTATATATATATATATGCATTTGTGTGTGTGTTTATATTTATACATATTTATATTAAATATTTTAAATTCAGAAAATAATAATACATAGTATTAACCATATTTTTTAACAAGATACAAAAAAAAGTTTTTTATAAACTATTTTGATTCATAAATATTTTGTTTTTAATTTAGCCTCGTCTTGGTCCGTTATTGAAAGGAACACGTTACATAATTGTTATACTGCCTAATTCTCAGAAAGTTCAAACTACTATTCAGGTAAAAATTAATTTATTTTAAACATATGTAGTTTAGTGCTTAATGACATGTTCAAAAATCTGATTTTTATTCTTTCAAGTTTTTTAATTGTCATTATTATGCCACTTATATGTATGTACTCAAGAAATAAATGTTTTATTTTATTATATTTGTAACATATATTCAACCCTCAGAATTAGAGTAGGCATTCGTCAATGCCGACCTAACTGCTGACCTTAAAGTGTTTGAGATTAGCAATTTTTTGCCGACTTTATTTCTATGTTTTATGGTAAGACCTTTTTTCAAGTTTTAGTTCAAGTTTAGTTTTCAAGTTTTAAAATAAAAAATGTAAAAATTTTAGTGAAACCATTTTAATCAAAAAAAAAAGTTTAAGAAGTTTACTTGAGTCTTAAAAATTTTTTTTCTCTGTTTCAAGAAATCAGTTGCTCTCTGGTCCCCAATTGATATTTAAAAACAAATCTAACTTACTCTCAACAAGGCTGCAAGAAATAAAGAATAGGGTTAAAGAGCAAGGTAATGGTTGACAGAAGGTTTAAAAAATTGTAGCTTTCAAATGATATGCATTAAAGTGTGGGGAAAAAACTAGACAAATAAAATGTTTAGGGGATGAAGGGACAGATACAGTAAAAAGATACAAATTTACTGAATGGCAAGTCAATCGAGCATGAGTTTGGTTTATGGATCAAAGATGATAGCTTTTTTGAGCAGCAACTATGTTAGTATTTATAGGGTTCAAGCTTGGAAATTAAATTGTTCTCATTCTGAAACATCAGAGGGGAAAAATGTATTTTTTAGATAAATTTATTTTGCTACTATAATTTCTACACTTTGAGTTTAATTTTGAATTTAGTACAGCTTATTTTTTGTCTCACTCATTCTTTATAAATATTAGTTATCTTAAAAATTTCCTTCTTTACTTGCAAAATCTTTGATAATGAAGATCATCATTGTATGATAGTGTTTCTAGTTCCAACAATTTTTCATACTAATGAATACAATAATATTATGAACTTTCATCTTTGTATTTGTTCAAATAATTGTTCTTTTCAAATTCAAAATAAGACAGATATTTAGTCCTGCAGATAAAATGAAAGAATCACAAAAGTTGTTTAAATGAAATAAACATGCCACATGTTCTAAACATATATAAACATAATATCAACCTGATACAACCTTTATTTGAAAATCTTGGACCATATATTTGTTTTATGTTTTATATATACAGCATGGAAAATAAAGGCTGGTTAACGGTCAATGACCGCCTGAAATAACTAAAAATGTTATTTTGACCTCCCAAAATGAACTCTTGTCAGCCATGGTTGACCGGTTGAAAAAAAATCAGAGATTTAAAAGCAAGGTTTGACAAATAAATAGGATGTTATTTGGAAAATATACTAAAGTTTTAAAAAATTATTTAAATTTTGAAAAAGGTTTAAAATAATTTTCTTGTTTATGATACCCTACTTTAATTGCGGGTCGTTAAAGTGAATTTTTTTTTAATCTTTTTATTTTTCAATGTCTGGTTTTATCTTTGTTTAAAAAAGTTTCCGATATATTTATTTTTTATCAATATAATATTATAATTCAATATATAAATATATAAATCAATATAATTAAAAATTAAAAACTTAATAATTTATATCAATATAATTCAATAATAATTAAAATAATTAAAAGTTATTTATAAATTATTTTATATTTTTAATTCTCCTCCTTATTATATATTGAGTATATATTAAATTCATCGTTGTTAAACCTTTTATCTAATAATTATTGCATATTAACAGTAATTTTCTGCTTTAACAACTCTGTAATACCTCTCAGTGAGGCTAATTCCATCAACAGCTGTAAAATGTCAGAGTACTAACAGTGTTGTGTTGCACATGGATGGTGTCCCTGTTTATACTTTTGTATAAACAAAACTTTTTACTTTTTGCATTGTAGAGTTTTTTTTCTTGAACATCAGTTCTTTTGGATCATCACTATGGATTTTGATCTTCTGGTTCTACTGCTGATTTGTAATACGGTAATAATGGTAATAACTGATAGGTTTTATAGAGCAATAGAGTGCTAAGGTTAAAGATTTTGCTCTTGACATTTCTAAAGCTTTTGATAAAGTTTGGTATGCTGGTCTTATTCATAAGCTCTCTTCTTATGGTGTATCAGGTAACATCTTTAAGGTTATTGGATCCTTTCTTACCAATTGTAGTATAAAAGTTGTCCTCAATGGACAACACTCTTCTTTATCTTCTGTAACTTCATGGGTTCCTTTAATTTCACATCTAAGGTGGCATTGTTTGCTGATGATACTACCATCTATTCAAAAAAAAGTTGTTGTTAGTAAGCACAGTAAAGCAGATAAGCTCTAAGCTCAGCAAGTAATGCTGTAAGTAGCTATAAGTAAGCACAGTGAAGCATATAAGGTCTAAGCACGACAAGTAATGCTGTAAGTAGCTGTAAGTAAGCACATTAAAGTATATGAGATTTGAGTGATGTGTAAGTAGTTGTAAATAAGCCAAGTGAAGCTCATGAGTACAAGCACAAGGCTAGCAAAACAAACAATGCTATAAGTAGTTTTAAGTAAGCACAGTAATGTGCATAAGCTCTAACCACAGTAATGTAATGTAAGTAAGTAATGCTGTAAATAGTTATAAGTAAGCACTAAACACTGCAAAGCTGTAATGAGGTGAAAACAAAATTTGAAATAAAAACAAAGTTTGAGTAAAAACAAAATCAGTTCGACACAATTTTATCCAATAAGGTATTAGGATCTTTAAAAGTAAAGTTACTGAAAAATGCCAACTATTGAAACTCTGCTCATGACCACTGAACCACTCAACTGCATCTATTGTAAGTAGATAAAATTTATTTTATTCATGACCACTGAACCACTCAACTGCATCTATTGTAAGTAGATAAAATTATTTTATTCATGACCACTGAATCACTCAACTGCATCTATTGTAAGTTAAATTTATTTTATTTTTTGTTGGATACTTAGACTAATAGTTTTTAATTTTTTTAAAAAATTTGATATTTAAGTCTGTTAACAGGATTACTAAAAAAAGTAATAAAAAAAATCAAAAAAAATTAAAAAATTGTTTAAAAAACAATGTTTGTATATTATTCTTACTACGCAATAAAAGTTTTCATACTAACAACAATTAGTCACCGAAATAAATGATTCTTATAATTATGAGCCAACCAAAATAAATGATGCGTACACTGTTTTTAATTGATTATTATACTACTAAACAAATGTTTACTTGTATAATAGTTAGCGATCAACCAAAACAGGAAATACGCCGAAACGCAAGTAAACACAATTTACAGGTATACTAGTTCAATACTAAAACCCACATTTCGACATTTTACCAAAGCTAAAACTGAAATTTTGTCTGAACAAAATTAATTTCATTAGAAAATGCAATTTTACATTTGTTCTTTATTGAAATTTTTATGGGTTAAATATAGACATATGATACATGTTTATAGAGATTTTTGGGGCCAAGGATTTCATTTTTGGGCTCAATTTTAATTTTGGAGTGGTCATGACCACACAAGTGGTTATTTTAGGGGTTGTCAAGGATGGTTATGGGGTTTCTTGGTTTTTAAATTAGATAGGACATGTTGTATATCTAAATATAGGGAATTGCTGTCAGGGAATTCAAATCTGGGCATATTCGGTCTTTAGAAGTGGTTATGACCGCTCAAATGATCATTTTAGTGGTAGTCAAGGGTGGTCCTGAGATGGCTCAATGTTTTTCAATTAGATAGGACATGTTGTATTTCTATATATAGGTTATTGCAGTTAGTGAATTTATAATTCATATACTGAACTCAAAAATCACAGTAGGGAAAAAGTTATATCAATTAGATATTTGCTGGGGGTCTCCAGATTACATTTACAAAAATAAACTCTAATATAAAAGTTGGTTTTGAAGAGTTTTGCTCACCTCTGGCTCACTGAGCAATGGTTTGATTATTTACGGTTTCGATATTTTTAAGAAGCAGATGGATGGCCGCTATTTACTAACCAAAAAAGTAGTTTTTAACAATGGTCTTAAAACTTCATTTTAAAATGATACAATATTTTTTTTAAATAATAAAAATAACTATTTTTCTAGTTTAAAAAAAAATTTTAAGTCATACAAAATTTTCAGTTTTTTGTATGTTTTTCAACCAAAGTTTTGCTTCTTACCGAATTTATAAAAAATTCAGAAACTGAAATTTCAGCATCGATTTGAATTGAAATTTTGACCAAAACTACTACCAAAAACGAATTTTGGTCGATCAATCACTAATAGTAATAATATTTTTATATTAAGTATATATAATTTACTCAAATAACTAAGGAAAAAAACTTTTTAATTTTAATGTATTTCAACTTAAAAGTTTAATTCCAAGTTGATTTTTTGCAGTTTGGTATTTTGTCTACTTTGTCTTGTATGGTGTTTATTTTGAGATTTTAAAAGCTTTTTTGATAAAAAAGTGTTCAAAAGATTTTTTTATAATACATATAGTTTTTTATAATTGTAGAGCTTAGTGTAAAAAGTACTTAAGTCACAAAACAAATGTTTTAAGAAAATCTACTTTGATCAGCCATTTTAAATCTTTATTTTGAAGTGTTATATCTCTGATCAAAGTAGGTTTTCTCGAAACATTTACTTTGTGACTTTAGTACTTTTAGCACTTAGCTCTTCAATTCTGCTTTTAACATGTTCACTTAATAAAAATGCTAGTCATTGTTATTGAATCCTGATATTCAAAAATCACACTTGCTATATTGTACATTTACATAAAAAACAATTGTTAATTATGCTTAGATTACTGATATCTTGTAGTAAAGTTCAACACATTTTATATTTAAACTAAATTTCCTAGATATTTAAAATTGTCTTTTATATATAAACAATTATGCATCGGTGCATGCAAATGTGCAACTGTGGCGCAGTGGTAGCGCACTTGCCTATGAAACAAAGGATAAGTGGTTCAAACCCCACCTCTGGGCAAGTTTTGCGACATCGGTTAGGAAGGAGGTGTAAACTTTTTTTTTTTTATTTGCATTCCCGACAAGGCTGCAAGCAACCACTATTAAGTTGGGAGTTACTAGGAAAAAAAAGAACAGAGTTATAGAGCAAGGAAACGGTTGACAGAAGACTTGAAAAGTTAAAGCTTGTATGAGTCAGGAAAACATGAAGATGGGAGTGAGTTCCAAAGGATTGAAAAAAATTAGATGAATAAAGGTTTTTAGAGCATGCAGGGACAGATACAGTAAACGAATGAGACTTAGCTGAATGACGAGTAAAAGGAGAATGAATTTTAGTTGATGGAACTAGAGATGATAACTCCTTTGAGCAGTGACCATGGTAGTATTTGTAGAAAAGAGAAAAACATGCAACTTTACGACAATGGGAAAGAGGCTCAAGCTTAGCAGATAGTCCAGGTCCAACAACATTTACAATGCGTTTTTGGACCTTGTCAAGAAGAGAAAATGAATCGTAGAAGAGAAAATGAATCCATACAGGGACGTCCATACAATCCATACAAGAAGAGAAAATGAATCCATACAGGGACGAATAAGAGATTTGTAGAGGTAGAGAATGGAATCAGAAGTAAGGAAATGGCGAGCACGATAAAGAGAAGCATCAGAAAGCACCTTTTTACATAGATTTCTTGCAATAATAAATAGTCGTTTGTTCTCAAGAGAGTTGTTATTTTGAAAAATATGAAAAAAATGATTACGATTGGATATAGCAGCCGCACAAGAAGGAGAAAACCATGGGGTAGAATGAGGCTTCACTTGAGACCAACAAGAAGGAATAAAAGCTTCCATTCCAGCCTGAATCCAGGAGGTTACGTAGGAGGCGCATTTATCAGCTAAAAGAGAAAAAACATCAGCCCAAGGACCATCACGAAGAAAATCACGAAAAGAATCCCAGTCAGCTTTAGGGTTAATACCCTAAAGCTGAATGGGTTTCTTTTCGTAAATGGTGCGATGATAAGGTGAGCCCAAAAAAGAAGTACGAGAAGAAAGATTTATAGAGATCATTGCATAGTCAGAACCACCTAAGGGAGAAAAGGGAGAAACTGAACATAAGCTAGGGTCAGAGACAAGACATAAGTCAAGGAGTGAAGGTAAATGATTAGGGTTGTCAGGAAAACGAGTCACAAAGTTAACTATCTGAGTAAAAGATTGAGAAACGCAGAAGTTAAAGGCTTTAGTGCCAGCAGGATCAGTGGTGTTAGAGCCGAGCCATTCAGTGTGATGAGCATTAAAATCACCAACAACAACAATATTGGCAGAGGGGTAAAGAGAGAGAGGGCATGGTCAATTTGATCAGAGATAACATCTAAAAGAGTGCAACCATGGGAAGAAGTAGAATGATAAAGAACAAAGAGAAAGGGGATAGAGTGAAGAGGTGCTAGGCGAAAGCACATAAAAGAATGGTCAAAGGATTCGAACCTGATTTCACGACAAATAGAGGAATTAATACCCCTAAACCTAGCATGTGACTATTGGAGTCTTTACGAATCAAAGGATAGTACCCATCAACACTGACATCTGAAGAAGGAATTGCAGAACTTAAATTTGTTTCACTGAGTGCAAGCAAGTCTGGTGAATTTTGCAGGAGGTAAGACTCAACTGACAGAAAGTTGCTTCGCAGACCGCAAATATTTGTAAAAGATATATTAAAACATTTAGATGGTGGGGATGGTTTTTTAAGTCTAAAATTTTTGGTTACTTTGGTCATGATTTGGTTTAATGAGTAGTTAAAAGCAGTTACTTCCCGCAACAGTACTTTGAGAAAACCAGGCATGACATTTTGGAAATGTATTAGGAAAAACACTGCATCTAACAAAATACAGGAGTCTAAGGTGAGTGTAGGTTTTGTAGTTGGAGTAAGTAGCTAGTTACTAAGCTCACGCTGTATCAGAGAATAAAAGAACACAAACAAACATAAATCAACTTACGGGTGAGTCAACACCGCACCAGAGGTTCAGACAGAACACAAACATACATAAAAAACATAAAGTAACTTACGGGTGAGCGAACACCGCGCCAGAGGTTCAGACAGAACACAAACATACATATAAAGTAGATTACAGGTGAGCTAATGCAGTAACTAAGGCACCTTCAACTATACAAAAAAAAAAATATTACTATAGGCATGACTGATATAAGATAGTACTGATGACAGGAAGCACACTCCTTCCAGCCTTTGCTTAGAAAGCAAATCCTGCAAGGCAGCAGAACATGGAACAGGTTGCACTGAGTTACCAGTACCAGGATGATTATGAAGACCATATCCTGACAATTAAAATCTCATTCTGTGATATGACCGTAAGGACTTCTTGGGGCACTTAAAAAAAAATTAAAAAAAAAAAATTATGTGACACCATTTATTCATATGCTATTACAACTTCACTTGTAACTTCTTATTGCAAATGACATCTTTTATTAACTTTAACTTTGTTTATTACACTCCCGCTTCTTCATCATGACCACTTCATCTTTCGGACATTCAAGTGCCTTTCATTTTCCACATACTCTTTTGAAACATTGGAGTTTTTGTTTGTTATCTTTTGGTAGCATAACAGTTCCACAGTGAAGGCTTGGAAATAGAATCATAACTAATGATTAAAAAATACTAGAAAAACTTACAACACATTCCTTTCCGCATTTAATTCTTCTTGTGCCTTGTCAATAGTTGGGACAATAATTGATAAAGCACAATCCAGCAAATCTTTATTAGTTTCTGTTTCCCTTATTAAAAACACAGGATGTAACAATCTTGATACATTTAATGAATAATTTGCTACAGAGTCAAGTTTTTAAAAGACAGCGTTCTAGTTTCAGGGGATTAAGACCATATTGAAACATATTTGATTTGCTTTCAATCATTTCTTTTGATTTCATTAATGCCTGTTGCCTTGCTCCATCACAGCGATCCTTAAATACCATTGATACTCATCACCATCTACTGGAATTAAAGAATCTTTAATTATATTTAAAACAGAATCAATTCTCATTCTTACAAGTTCTTTGCGTTGAACAGAAACACCTTTTGCATTCAAAACATTACTAGTTGGGGCGCAGTTTTTTTCTTTTTTCTTAGTTACTAATTCTTTAGTTGTTGAAAAACAGATGTCTTTTGAAGCAAAAAACCCTCATTTTCTCATTTGCTCCCTACTTAATGTAAGGGAATGCATTAAAGCTATGGATTCATCTATTGTTTCAATATGGTTTTTGAAAAGTGCATTACCAACACGAGCAATAGTCTGATTAACATTCAGTTCAGAACATTATTAGTGATAAAGTTGTTTGTATAATAGACAATTTTCTGTGTCCTCTATTACTGATTGTTTAGGGAGAGAGCTGACAACAATTTTTTCTTCCTCAAGCCATTTTTCAAACATATTAATGTGTTCATTAATGTGCAACATGTGTCGTTTTAGCATATCACAATTCAATGATAAAATAAATTTTATATCACAATTCAATGATGAAATAAGTTTCATTTTATTTTTATTTTTTGTTATTCATTGCTTTTTATTTCTTATTTTAATGAACTTTGCCCTATAACAATTAATTTAGGTGGCATCTAAAGGAAAAGAATTGTTTGATCAGATAGCATGTTACCTTCAAATTAAAGAAACACTCTATTTTGGATTAACACAATTACAAGGTTTTTTTTTTTTTCCTTTTTTTTTTTTAAACAGTTTTATAGAAAAAAAAATTTTCATAATTTTTTGATTTTTAATTTGTTCTTTTAAACAGCTTTTATTATTTGTTGAATTTATTTATTGTTGTTTGAAGTAAATCAGCAAAATATGCTCTGCAGGAAAAGACTTTTAAATCATATACACTGAATATCTAATATAAACTTTAATATACAGTGTTCATACTATTTCTTACAGTTTGAACTGTCACAACAACCATTTTTCTCATTATGAAGATGATTTGTCTCAAACAACAAAATTTTTCAGTATTCTGTTAAGGTGTCTTTTTACTGTTTGTAATATTCCAATGTAAACCTAGTTTGTTATGATTATTTTTGATTGTGTGAAATCACAAATATCTTAAATTTTTGAAAAAATAAAAGCATGAAGTTTTTTATTGTAGGATATTCAAGTTTAAACCCAAATAGTATTTAACTTTTAAATAAAGGGCAATCAAATGCCTACTTGCTGAAGATGGCATTGTTAGCATATTTGTTTGTCCTAACTTTATTTAGACCAGGGTGCGTATTTACCAAACTTTTGTAACTTTTGCATAACTCAACTAAGGTTACGGAAACTGTATGTTCAGTGTTGTTTTGATAACTATTTAATATTCACCAATATTTTGCAGCATTTCCATAAAGTTGTACCAAGGGTTGTGCACGAGTTGCGCTGAACTTACGCAAAAACTTATGCAAAAAAAAAAAAAATTGATTTTTTTTTTTAATAAACCAAGTTTTTGTAATTTTATAAAACAAATTTAAATTTTTAACAAATTTAAGTTTTTAACAAATTTAAATTTTTAACAAATTTAAATTAAGTATAATTTCTAAATAATATTTTTTACAGTTTGTTAAAATGAAAATAATTTTAAAATAATAATGAAAATTTTTATAAAAACTTTGCTATAAAAGCTAAAATATTTTTATTGAATATTTATTTAGTAAAAAATGTTATTATAAAAATTAGGAAACTATTTATAAGTAGAAAATAGGAAGAGAGAGGTTTGAAATTGATTAATCTACAAAGAGATTATAAAGGGCGGATAAATTTTGACAATTAGTTTCATATACAATTAAACTTGCCATAAAAACATTCATTTTGTTCAATCATAAATATCACCCAAATTGTGTTTAAGTATAATAATTAAAATTTTTGTATATGCTAACTACAATATTTCTTATGGTTTAGATATACTTTCAGGTTTTGTGCAAATTCTACACTCTGCATGTTCATGCTATTTTATTAACTAATTGCCCTGATATTTGGCCTGTGTGTGTGTGGAGGGAGGTGGGGTGCAAGCTTTTTATTGTATTTTTGTCACCAGAGTCAATTCACTGCCTCTTTTTTTTGCAAAAAAATTTCTAATTTAACATAAGCATGAACATAGTTAAGTTTGGAGTTAAAAAAAAACTAAATTTTTGTTACAATATTTCAAGGGAGTATAGATACCCTCGTTATCAATATAGGAGTATCAATAAGGGAGTATAGATACCTTCATTATATATATATATATATATATATATATATATATATATATATATATATATATATATATATATATATATATATATATATATATATATATATATATATACATACATATATATATATATATATATATATATATATATATATATATATATATATATATATATATATATATATATATATATATATATATATATATATATATATATATATATATATATATATATATATATATATATATATATATATATATATAAAACCAATAAAAACAAAACAAAAACAAATCAATGCAATAGTTTCTTTTGATTCAAATATTGAAACAAAAAGGTTTCCAAAAGGAAGTCATGACATAACCTCCATCATCCTGATTTAGATTGTTTTCTGAAGGTGAACATTCATGATGTTGTATTTGAAGTGCTTCCCTCACTTTTCTGTTTAAGTTATTCACCTCTACTTTTAAAGTATTTTTATTGTTCCATGTAAAATTACCATGATAATTTTTTGAATTTTTTGCATTGCTAAATATTCTCATTTTCCCTTGGATCTGGACTACATCAAGGATCTGGACTAGTGGGAATTAATTCTGGTAGTGCTTTAGCCAAAATACAAGACCATTTAGGATAGAAAACAAAAAACTTAACTATGATTAAACTCTACAAGTCATTCATAAAGTTCATAACACAATCAGAAAACTAAATAAAGCAGGTCAACTTACGGTAAAAGAATAAAAAGATCTTTAACCAAGTGATGCTATACTACCCCGTTTGTATGGAGTCATAAAAGCCCACAAACCTGAAAAAAAAACTATCTGAAGTTATCATAAGCCCTATTGGAACGGCTACATAAAAAATTTCAAAATTCTCAACTGATATGATGCAACCCATCCTCAATAAAAACAATACACATTTTAAAAACTCTCAACAATTTATAAACTTAACTAAATCATGAAATATTGACAAAGATGAAATCCAAGTGTCTTTTGATATTATTAATTTATATCCTTCAGTCCCAGTAAGAGAAGCAATAATTGTCCTTATTGAGAGATTAAAAAATAATCCTAGTTTTACATCAAAATTTTTCCTTTGATGAAATAAAAGTACTTTTAGATATGCCTTTTGCATTGTTATTTTTTATATGAACAGGACATTTATGAAATAGAAGATTCTGGACCTATTGGTTTAGAACTAATGGTAGAAGTTGTGGAGTGTTTTCTACAGTTTCATGAAAGTAATGCTGTTGCACAAGCAGTTTCCAATAATATTCATAAAAAGTTATTTAAAAGATATGTTGATGACTCCCATTCCCTTTTTAACTCTACTGAAGATGCAAAAAACTTTTTAAAATTACTTAACCAACATAAAAATGTTCAGTGCACCATGGAAATCAAAAATGAAAATAACACGCTAAACTTTCTTGATATAACAATAAAACTGGTATGTACCATTTTAAAGTTTACCGTAAAGATGCCATAACTAATTTACTTTAATTTTAATAAAATTTATTAATTTTTATAGAACTCAACATTTATTAATTTTAATAAAAAATATTGTATCTTTACCGTGGATTCCAGGAATTAGTCTGAAGTTAAGAAAAGTTTTTAAAAAAGCATGTTACACACCAGTCATCAAAAAATTTACAACATATACTTACCACAAAAAATAAACCTCTTCCCGTAAATTCCTACCCAGGTGTGTACAAAATGCTCCTTCAAAAAATGTTCTAGCGGTGAAACAAAATTAAAAATCTCATCTTGCATTTACCAACATCAGAAAAGTACATATGAAGGAAACTGGGATTATTCAGCAATAGCTGAACATTCAAAAAATTGTCATGGTAATTTTACATGGAACAATAAAAATACTTTATAAAAGTAGTAATGCCTAAATGTGTCATATATAAAACATCAAAAAATCCTTTTTACATTTGCGCAATATATTATCGCCTTCAATTTGTAAATAAATAAATTATAGTTTGTTTTTCATACAATGCTAAGTCAAATTTGGTTGGCTTGTTTTAATTCAGCCTGAACATTGTGTAGATTATTTTTCATAAAATGAACATAAAATATATTTTGTAGTATCTTGTTCGGGTGAGCATATGTTAGGAGCACTTATAAAAATATTATTTTCATTTTATCTTATGACTTCCAATGGTTTTTGAGATGACCAATAGATAGCTCCACATCACTATCTAGCTGTAGGTGAACTTTATTAAAATATACTTTCTCTGGTGTAGTTGGCTGATTAATTGGTGTAATTATGACTGGTATCTACCCATATTCTGAGTCTGCAAAAAGGAAACCTGCATTAGGATCATATTCCAATGTCTAATTTAATGCAGGATTAGTAAAAATAAAAATCTTTATCCTATATATTTTTTGAAAACATCTCTGAAAAAGGAAAAAAAGTTATTTTGATGTAAGGAAACTTTGAGCTTCATTTGTAACAGTCCATTAATAACATATTTAACAATAAATTATCAAAAGATTATCAATTTTTTGTAGTTAATTTTCTTTGATTTGAATAATAATTTTTACCATTTACTCTTTGAAAACTCCTTGTTACTTTGATAAAAATCTCATTGATATCAACACTTTCGCTTCTGAAGAAATTGAGTTGCTTGTATCAATATGATTGGTGACCAATTATTGTTAATGTATTGACAATACCTCTATTTATTTTTAAGTTGGTGAATACGCTCCCAGAAGTCCTAATAAAGTCAAGATAAAATTTGCTTTAATGAAAACTGCTAAAAAAAGAGTTCGTTTTATGTATGAACTTATTAAACAAGACTCATTGACTTCATTACATTATTTAACAAAACTTATTGACTTCATTAATTTATAAAACAAAACTCGTTAAATTATTTTGCATTCCCATAATTATGGGAATGCGTAAGGTTACTACTTAATTGTAACACAACTTTAATATAAGGTTAAGATTAAAGCACAGAGATTAAAACAAAACACAATTGCATACATACATACATACATACATACATACATACATACATACATACATACACACATACATACATACATACATACATACATACATACATACATACATACATACATACATACATACATACATACATACATACATACATACATACATACATACATACATACATACATATGAGATGCAAGTAAATAAATTTTTTTTATTATTATTTGCAGGAGAAGATCATGTTTTCCTTGATCTTGATTCGAAGTTATTAAAGTATGCTCCCACAGGTTGGAAAGATGAGGTGATTTAAAAAAAAATGTATTTTTCATAGAAAATAAATGGATGTTTCTAAAAACAATATTTTTTTGAATAATACTATCAAATAAAAAAAAAACAGTTTTTCAAAAGTATATCATGTTGGGTTCCAAAAGAAGAGAAATAATATAAAAACTTCATAAAAATTTTTAAAATACTTTTTTCTAATTAAAAATAAAAAATATGAATTTTTACAAGATTTTTGATTGTAATGATGATTATTTTTGATTTTTTAATATTGTTTCGTTTCTTTTGAGACCCAAGATGATATACTTTTAAAGGATTTTTTTTTTTGTAAAGGGTTTTGTGCTTTTGGTTTAACCATTACTTACAATCTTTTGATTTAATTATTACTTACAATCTTTTGGTTTAAAAAAAACATTTTTTAATCAAAATTTTAAATTCAGTTTTATTTTATTATATAAAACACATATAGGAGTTGAACACTTGTTTCAATTATTTTTATAAACACTCTTATATATACATGCATACACACACACAAACACACACACACATATATATATTCTTATCTTAAAAACATTGAGGTTATCTGTATGTCTGTAGACATTTGGGTTTCCTGACATAAACTCAAAAACAATATTGCATATAGAAAAAGAAACAAATGAATTTTGTTTTAATTGATTTGAAATGGGTCTTAGCATAAAAAGATTTTAGCATAAGTTAATTTAATAAGGATTTATGGTCGTTTTTGTGAAAAAAATTGTTTTATTAAAAAAAAAAAAAATGCTGTCATTTTTTATTTTGTCAAAAACTTTGGGTTGTTGCTATTTTTCGATAAAGCTTTGAATAATTTTCCTTGCAATATTAAGAAGATGTCAACTTTTGAAGATGTCAACTTTAATATATATATATATATATATATATATATATATATATATATATATATATATATATATATATATATATATATATATATATATATATATATATATATATATATATATATATATATATATATATATATATATATATATATATATATATATATATATATATATATATAATGAAAATTATGAAGAATAGAATTATTGTTATGGTTTCTGACATAACAACATTAACATGCATGTAAATAAAGTTCATACAAATGAGTTTGTTATATATACATGCATAGATATTTAAATGTGGTATTGTGTGTGAATAAATAAAAAATATATCAAGTAATAAAAGATATGAAGCATGTTGCTGTTTCAAAAAAAAGCTGCTTTTATAGATTTTTTGTTAAGAATGGTTACGCGGTTCCCATTTAATGTATGGCGATTTGTGTACGCATTCAGCAGTTTTTTATTAAGCACAAACTTTTCATTTTGTGTACGCATTCAGCAGTTTTTTATTAAGCATAAACTTTTCATTTTGGAATAGTTTAATTATCTTTTAATTATCGTTTATGTGATGTTTATTCAGAAAATATTAATTCGTCAAAAAAGCATTTAACTGCAACTGATTTTTTTTTTATTAAAATACTATAAAGTAAATACTATTTTAAAAATTTAAATTTAGTTTTTAAAGAATGTGAAATAGTTAATAAAATGTAGAATGTAAAATTTAGTTTCAAAGGAATGTTAAATGGTTCTGTAATATTTATTAAAGAATTTTTTTTCTCATTATCTAACTAATTTATTACGTAAAACATGAATTTCTTTACGGTAGACTAAAATTTGACAAAGTAAATAAGAAACTTTTTTTTTTAAAAAAAAAAAAAAAAAGAGAATTTTCCCAAAAATGTATTTAAAATTTTTTGTTTCTTATGAATTCATTATTGTGTTAAGTCCTTTTGACTTGCTAATGCCAATGACGTAATTTAACTGTAAATGATGTAAATATCAAAACTGTGTTAAAGTTAATTTTATTAGCATTAAGCATTTTTTTATGCAAATCTCATAACAAAGTCTGGTATTTGATATGGCATTTTTAGGGTACAGAGCACTTGTTTGTGTGTCTTTTTTGTTGAAAGAACTTGACCTTCTCTGGTTCTCTTGTCACAAACGACATGAAGTCATCTACATGAGTCATTAGTTGGAAAATTAGAAAATTAAAACATGGCAATTTTGATTTGAAATTTTTTTATTACTTGCAATCTTTTGATTTAACCATTACTTACAATCTTTTGATTTAATCATTACTTACAATCTTTTGATTTAACCATTACTTACAATCTTTTGGTTTAACCATTACTTACAATCTTTTGGTTTAACCATTACTTACAATCTTTTGATTTAATCATTACTTACAATCTTTTGATTTAACCATTACTTACAATGTTTGAATTTAATCATTACTTACAATCTTTTTGTTTAATTATCTTCTCATTTAAAAATGCTTTTGAAAAATATCAAAACATAAAACTAATTTTAGACGAAATTCAGTTGTCAAGTCATAATAAGCAGGTAACAAAGGATTGCCAAAAATTTCCAAATTATCAATCAGTGAAAAATTTTTAATTATCAAGCAGTGATTCTAAAATCAAAAGAAAAATTATGGTTTTATTGAAAAGATATTAACTTTTTTATGTTTGCATCTTTAACTGCTTGGTAACACTTATAAATTAAATATAGTTGTATATAATTTTGTTTGTCCTTCTTGAATCTATAATAGCTTTTCATGGTCTCCCTTTCTTAATACCAATATAATATACTAGCTGTCATGACCCATAAAATACAGGTCTTGGGAATCTATTCCACACCAACCTTTTCTATACTTATTCCTTACTTCAATATTTTTTAGTAAGAGGTATTACCTCAGTTGCAATATCTGCCAAGAGTTTGGTATCAAACATGCACAAATGAACATTAATACTACTACTAAGTTCAGCAATTATATATAGTGATACCTTATACATGTCGTAGAGTAAGAAAATGGTGGTTAATTGAAGAAAAAATATATATTTTTGAGATTTTGTGTTATAAACCTTTAATTATTTATTTTTTGATTAAACATTTTATAAATTTTTTTTAATTATTTAAACACTATCACATTTATAAAGTATATTTTATATTTGCTTTGCTATGTGTAATAATTTTTTATTAAATTTTTTGCTATGCATAATATTTTTTTATATTTGCTATGAATAATATTTTTTTTATTAAATTTAGAAGTTAACAAAGAAGAAATTAGAGTTTATATTGTATTTTAAAGTGAAGTTTTTTGTAAACGAACCTTGTGTTTTAAAGTAAGTATGATGTTAATTAAAAACGTTTACAGAATATGTGATGTGCAAGTATAATCTTTTAACACGTTGAGTATGGAGCAATATTCAGTGGTTGTTGCTAAAATACAGCGGATAATTGGCACTATGAACTCACAAACCAAATCATTTTTTATTTAATTTAAGCTATAAAAATAATATTTTTAATATTATTTTTATTGACTATTGATGATGAGTATACTCGTTCTCCTGGAAAATGATACAACTTTATCTTGTTCTGAACTAGACTCTGATCCCGATCAAGATTGTTATGGAAGGACTATTTCTTTAGCCGCTGTTCTTAATCTTGATTCTCAATTACAAGGATGTTTGACATATAAATACTATATATCATCTGCGATGCAGATGATATGCAATACTTAAAGGTAAAGGCTACCTTTAAATCAGTAATTTTTTCAATGAAGAAATAAAAAAAAACCCTCCAGTATGAATAGTTACAATATCTTACTCATTAAAATCATAAAAAGTGCTCTTTTTACATAAATATATGTTCTCACAAAAACTTAACTGATGGATGTTTAATTCAAGTTTTAAAACCAATTTTAGAAAATAAAACCTTCAGAATAAAAAGTTGTTAGCATTTAAACTCAAGCAGGTATACTTGTCATCTGTATGCAAGGAGAGTTTTATTTGACGAGTATACTCGTCTTCCATACGTAAAGTGTTAATTATGACATAAAATATTTACAGTTATTTTTAACTTATGTTAAAAATAATTGTAAATGTTTTAAACTTTTAATTTCTGTTACAAAATTTAACTCAATGAATCCCTTTTAACTCAATGAATCCCTTTTAACTCAATGAATCCCTTTTAACTCAATAAATCCCTTTTAACTCAATGAATCCCTTTTAACTCAATGTCAACTTTTGTCAAGATTTGTTAGATAGAGTAAGAGGATGGTCTCAGCAGGACGGACGATCACCGGCACCTGTCTCCACACCTGTGTAAGTCAGTTTACACAGGTGATACCCCATGCAAAATACAATATTTTTTTAAAACAACAAATAATTTTAATGTTTTAATAAATTAAAAAATGTTTTTCAGGTTGATAGATTGACCTTTTATTTTAAATACACTAGGCATCAAGCTCATTTAAAACAAAATATTGCTTTAATAAGTATTACTTAATTATGCAATAATAAAAAAAAAAGAAGCAAAAAAGTGTTTTTGTTAGCATCTTTAAGGTAAAAAGGTTTGTGATAGTAGATTTTTTTTTAATGTTTTGGACTATTTTTATAGTTTTTAATGTTTTGACATAACTATTTTTTTTACTGGTCATTTGAACTTGATGAGTTTAAATGACCAGTAAAATAATTACATCAAAAAGCATAATTTAAAAATGTAAAAAATAATAATAATGAAAAAAGAACTATTTAGCATTAAAGGTTTTTAAAAAACAATTTAAATTGTTGATTTTATATTTTCAATTAAAATATACAATAGTATAAGCTGTGGAGTCAGAGTTGTGGAGTTGGAGTCGCTACAATTTTAGCAAAGTCAGAGTAACTAAACAAAATCGCGACTCTGACTCGAATAGTAAAATTTTTCGGTATTGCACGTGCATGTACAAAATTTTTAACCTTCAAAGAATTTTTCATATATTTGGCAAAAAAAAATTTTTTTTAAATTATCGCGTAATATTTTTTAAAGAATTCAAATATTTTTCAAAAAATTTGCTTTGGGGTCAGAGTCGTACTCTGAAAATTTCGGAATCGGAGTAGTACTTTTTTTTTATGACTTCACACCCCTTATTATATATATATATATATATATATATATATATATATATATATATAATATATATATATATGCATGATTTTTAAAAATTCTTTCATTTGTTATAGTGTATAATATCTTTACATATTTTATGTATATAATCTCTGTAAAATTTCAAAAGAGTTTTATTTTATATTTAAAAAAAAAATTAAAAAAAAAATGTCACCAGTGGAAGGATTCAAACCAAGAGTTTTTGCTTCGGAAATTCTGCGAGCTAACCACATTTCTACTTAGGACTATAGTCTAATGAAAATTTTAATAATGTACAACAAATAAAAGACTTTATAAAATGGAAATAAATGCTACAAATTTAGGGAAATGTTGCCGCAATGCAATTTTCAAGTGAATGTAAAACTATAAAACTTGATATATATTTTGGTATGTTTAAATATTACATAATTTGAAGTTTACGCAAGTTAGACATTTGCTTAGACTTTTCGTTCATACTTTCTTATTAAAAAAGTGCTGTGAATCTTTCTAATGGTTGCAATGGCTGCCAAGTGTACCATGTTAAACACGCTCGAATGAGCATTAATAAGTTGCTTATTATATTATTATATGGTATATATATATATATATATATATTAACTCTATAACTCTGAAACACAAACCTTGATGAACTAAGCCGCTGTGCATAAAAACAAGTCAAGTCCGGTACTACCAGGGACATGGTTGGAATCGAACTCAGAATTTCTGGCTTATGAGGCAAGCGCTCTGCCACTACACCACTACCGCATTTATTTTTTTTATTATTAAATTAATTTAATTTTTGATTATATTTATCTATTTATATTGGTTTTACTTTTCTTTTTTTTTTTAAATAAATTTGTTCTACAAATAAATAATCTAAATGAATTTATTCCCTTAATAAATATATTCATAAATAATGCATATACAAAATATAACATCAATTTAAACAAAAGTTTTTATTTACATTAAAAAGATATATTTTTAAAAATTATAAAGATGCAAGTTAAACCAAGTAAGCTGTGGTCATTAATTCAAATATTTAATTTTAGTAAATTCAAAACCTCAGATTTTCTTATAGTTAGTAATGAATTAAATTTTGATTACTTTACAATTTAAAATTTTCTAAAAAATAACATCTCTAATCTTTTAGTTGACCTTTGTTAAAATATCTTTAAAACTACTGTAAAAATATTTTTCCTAATTTGCTGCAAATAAGATTTTCCTTGCTTTTTTTTAAGTTCAAAAAGAGAAGGTTTAATAGATATGTTAATAGAAGTTAAAAGATTTGTCTATAACTTTAAAACTTTTAAAAACATTTAAAATTATAAAAAAAAAATCTCCCTTTAAAAATAATTTTATAGCTAAAAAAGAAGTTAACAAACAGTTGTTTTTTTGCGGATTTCTTACAATAAGTTTTTAATTTTTGCACTCACAAAATTTCTGCTCTCCTTCCTGTCTGCAATAAATTTTGGAGGTGGAAAAAGTTTGGCAGAATGGTACTGCTTCCTAGATTATTTTTGTAGAGTAGTCCTTAAAAACATAAGTTAAAACAATAAATAATCTTAAGTCAAGTTATGTATTTTAACACATAAGTTGTAAAATATAGGAATAAACTTAGAAATTGTTGTGAAGGATTTCTCTTTCTACTTGTTTATTTGTTTAGAAATTTAGTTTTTTTTAAGTTATGCAACAGTGTTAAATAAATCTTATCTTCTGGATGCACATGGGACAACTAAAAATGTTGTTTGAGTAAACATGGCCTAAGTGTTTCTCTTTTGACATCATATGCATCTAGGAACCAATAGTATATATTGTAAATTGCTTATTTTTTGATATTTTTATTTTATATATATTTGATACTTTATAAAAAATTATTAATTAGGCAAAGTATCACTCGGCATAGTTACTATTTACAAATTCGACAAGACATTTTAAGTGGGTATATGCATTGCTCAGATGAAGCTCTCTTTGTTTTAACTGGTCATGCCTTACAAGCTGAATTTGGAAACTATGAGTCAAGCTCTTCACAGTACTTTCAAATTGAACATTATTTGCCTAGAAGGGTAATCTATTTATCTTATCATTGTAATCATTTAGAAGGGTAATCTATTTGTATTTTCATTGTAATCATTTAAAGCAATACTTTTTGACAAAATGCTGTGATGTGTTTTGTTTTATTTTGCAATTTAATTTTTTATTCAAGTTTTATTTTTTTACAATTTAATTATGTCATTGTTTTTATGACCCAATATTCAAAATTTTCTTTTTGTATTTAAAAATTTTATGATTTATTGGTATTAAGTGGTTTTAAGATTTATTTGTATGAAGTATTGGTATTAAGTGGTTTTAAGATTTATTTGTATGAAGTATTGGTATTAAGTGGTTTTAAGATTTATTTGTATGAAGTATTGGTATTAAGTGGTTTTAAGATTTATTTGTATGAAGTATTGGTATTAAGTGGTTTTAAGATTTATTTGTATGAAGTATTGGTATTAAGTGGTTTTAAGATTTATTTGTATGAAGTATTGGTATTAATATTAAAAAGGAATATCATGAATCTTGTGTTTCTGAGTCTAAGATTTAAACTCTTTAATGTGATCAATGTGAATTAAAGATTTTGAAGCATTTCTCAATATTTAAAAAAATTTATTTAATCCAATACTTGATTAATTAAAACATTTGATTATTGAAAATTGGTCTGTTTTTTATAAGTCTAAGAAAGCTATTGAATATGATACACTACAGTTAAAGAGTTTATAGTCTCTTTCCAAAAATACTTTTTTTTTTAAATGGTATTAGATAAAAAAAAAAAAAATTAAATATTGTTGAACAATATTTTTAACATGAATAATATCAGTTTTACAAATTAAATTTGTTGAGCTTTGAATACTATGTTAAAAGTTTAACTAATTAAATAAGTACTAAGTAAATAAAGTTTATTAAACAGTTTACTTTATACATTTTTAAATTTAAGATGCCATTTTTGTGTTTTGTTTGTAGGTATTATCTCGCATAAATAAGGATGCCTGTTACCAACATCTTTCATCAATACACAAATCCAATTATGGTAATTGTAAAGAAGTTGCAGAGCTTGAATTTTTAAAAAAAGCAAAAGATTTGCAAGAATATGGAGTTCTTTTTTACAAAGTTTCTCGGGTTAGATTAATTTTTAAGATTTTAGATTAATGTAATTGTAAACTTATTGTATAACGTTTTATACTATAAGTTTACAATTATAATATAATATTAAAACTAGATGATTTAGGTTGAATATATATATATATATATATATATATATATATATATATATATATATATATATATATATATATATATAATATATATACATATATATGTATATATATATGTATATATATATATATATATATATATATATATATATATACATATATATATATATACATATATATATATATATATATATATATATATATATATATATATATATATATATATATATATATATATATATATATATATAATTATATATATTAAATTTATATTTAAATTTAAATTATATATATATATATATATATATATAAATTTATATATAATATATATATATATATATATATATATATATATATATATATATATAAATTTATATATAGTATATATATATATAAATTTATATATAATATATATATATATTTAAATTATATATATTAATACATATATATATATATATATATATATATATATATATATATATATATATATATATATATATATATATATATATATGTATGTATATATAGGGTTTTCAAAACACACACACATATTTTGATTATATACTTTTACTTCAAATATTACTGTGTATGCAAAGTTAGGTGTGTGCAAAAAGTTGTTTCTTTATAAACCAATACAGAATTAACTTTTAATTTTTCACTGGTTAACTTTTATGAGTTGAGCAATATATGTATTTATTCTTTAAGTTAACCCTTGTCTACCAAAAAATATTGATTCCATTGGGCCCATATAACCAATAAACTGGATTTGTAAATTAAAAACTAATGATTTTTTTTCTTTAATGTATAAAAATGAGGCACTAGATAATCGGTCTTGAATTCCAATTTATCGTCTGGTATTGCTGTGATACCTTACCGTATCGATATCGAGATCACACGATACTAGTATCGAAAGCATCAGTTATGTTAGGATTGTTTGGTCTCGATGCAATACCTTGCAGTATCAATATCAAGATCATGCAATACTAGTATCAAAAGTTATTATTGTTTGATACCAATAGTGTCATTTGGTATTGCAACTCTGGTCATCATGAGAACTTGCACTTTATTTTTATAAACAATTAGTAATTTGAAAGATTAAATTTGTATAATAAATGAGATGTATATAACTGACTCATTTATTATAAAAGAAATTCTCAAAGATGGTTGTATGATATCATGTTTATCATTTAATTTCTCATCTGGTATCTTTGTTTTAATTTAAATAATTGTGTGGTATCACTTCTGTATTTTAATTTCTCATCTGTTATTATTATTACAATTTTTTCTATTGTGATTAAAAGGAAGAAAAAGATTTTGTTTAACATTTAATTCTATGTTAAATTATTACAAATAATTAAATTAAGTTAAACAATGTGTAAGAGACAAAAAGAAAAAGGATAGGGGTGGTATTGAGAGTCTTTACCCCCCCTCCCCTCCACCTAAGAAATGTCAAACTTTAAAATGTTATTGATAAAATAAAAATAAAATTCAAAAAATTGTACTTCAACATTTTATTATTTTGCTCAAAAAAAAAAGGTATTTATATAACCATTCAGTATATTTATTAGCTAACTATCTTATAACCTTTCTAAAATGATTCTAAATGATCAAATGAAACAGTTGTTTTATTTTAAAAAAAGCAGACCTTTTTTTTTTTATTCTTATGGTCGAACTACCTCTCTAGAACAATGACCTGGATCCGCCCCTGCTGTTTATAGTTTTTTATATCATTATTCCAACTCTATTGAGTTTTTATTCCATTCAGGCAAGAATTTTCTGTCCAGAATTAATCTTTAAGAGGATAGTTTTGCAATCATTAAAGAGAGTTTTTCATATAATTCTCCAAAGTGAATTGCTTGTGATGCAATTGTTAATGATTATTCTAAACGAGTATTAGAAATGATTGTTCAAAGGGAATTGATTTTGCAACAGTCATAAAGTTATTTTAATTTAATTAATTGTGTGATATTGCATCCACATTTAAATTTCTCATCTGGTATCGTTACTTAAATTAAATCTCTTGTTGTATCTTAACTCTTGCCTGGTTATTCGTTCTGTGTTCAATATTCAACAACTAAACTTTAGCTAACAATTAAACATAAGTATATTTTAGTTACTAAAGTAAACTAATCTTCACTCATTATGCCTCTTAAAACATCTTTAATCTGGGATTTCTTCAAGAAAAATATAGGTAAGCATTACTAAATATTGTTTATACTAAATATTGTTTATACTTTATCTCAAAAGGTAATTGCCGGAAGTGCTAGGAAATAATCCTGAAAATAATTACCAGCATGATTGTTTTTATATATGATAACTTAATTTATTGATGCAAAAGTTTGCGTGGCCAAGAGGATAAAGTTATGGCTAATGAGTCATGAGCTCTAGGTTCCTAAGGATTTAATTTTTTTTTTAATTAAAAATGCAGACATTTTTACGTTATAACTTATTGTTTATTAACTATTAGGATTTTAAAAAATTTAATTTAATTGGTGGAGCAATAATCCATAAATCGACTGATTTTTAGGGAGAACGCGCAAAGCACAGTGTGCTAAATTGACCTCCAGGTTGTATGTCTGTCCACTCTGAATTTTTTTTGTTTCATATGTAGATGCCTACTAACTAATTGTAAAAAAAATAATTTTAAATTCACGCCTATCAAAGGGTCTTTTTTTGGTAATAATATTTCTGAAATTATTTAACTTTTTTGACATTTTTTAGATGTAAAATTTGCCCCCAAAATTTAATTTTGCCCCAGGCCCCAAATGAGTTCGAAGCATCTCGTTTCTTTGTTGCTTTTAGTAAAAATTAAATGAAAATTATAATAAAAAAGTAAAACCTTTTTATTTAATATTAAACTGTAATATACAATTTCAAGAGAATCTGCTCTGTGTAAAATATGTGGAAATAAGCTTGCAACAAAGCTAGCAAATACTACTGGCTTATGAAAGTATTTTAAAGAAGACGAGCAAAGATCTCAAGTAGATGAAGAACTAAACATAATCAAGGCAGGTCTTTCTGTACAAAATGTTACCAAATGCCACAATAAAACATTCAACAACTTTCTTAAAAAATAAACTCTCTCAGCTTTACCATACACTAAAGGGAATTATGGGAAAAGGGAATTAAGTTATGGGAAAAGAGCTGATAAATCTTAATCAGGTTGACATAACCACCAACCTCTGGACATCAAGGGCAAATGATTCATACATATCCGTGACATTACATTATATCTAGCCAGACTTTGCCCTAAAGAAATTTACATTAGAAGTGTGCCTATTCGAAGAGCAACACACTGGTATCAACATTGTAAAAGCACTTGATGACACACTCTTATACCCCAAATCATTAAAACAAATACCCAATAAACTGTGTGTTATTGATCAGGCATCAAATATGGTATGTGCTATAAACAACAGTATGTCTTTAATAGCTAAAGAAGAAGGCTCTGTTACATGCAGCGATCACAAATTCAACACTGCACTGTAAAGGACAGCTGAGGAACCCTGGAGTTCCAGGGTACTGGACCTTCAGTTCCAGTACCCTGGAACTGAAAAATGCTTTTTGTAAAGCCAGCTCACTCATTACCAGGCTTCATAAATTGACAACCTTCAGTGTTTCATTAAAAGATGCTTGTTCCATGTTAGATGTAAATTACCTCAAAATACCCTCCAAAGTAACCACGAGATGGAACAGTCATTATGATTTGCTGCATGCCATGCTTTGACTGAAGGTTCCACTCATATACTTACTCGATACAGAAGGTGATGATTGGAAGAAAACCCTACCTACAGTTGAACAGTTTTTACTCTTTGAAGCTATTCAGTGCTAAAATCTGTTAAAGAATTATCAGTTTTTTTATCTTTTGACACAGTAATCTGAATTGACATGTCACTGAGGAAAGTAACAGCACTCATCAATTTCATCGAGAAAGAAACAAATAATCATCTTACTCATGGAAACAACAAATTAGTAGAAAAATTCTTGGAGGACTTATTATCAGAACTAAATAAAGGATTCCCAGACAAAGGCCATAAATTACCTGCATTTGCACTAGGACATTACCTCCATCCATTTTTCTGTGGACATCTTCTTGATGTTGACGATGAAAATATTCAAACACTGGTTGAAAACCATCCCACAATCAAAAAATACTTTGAGAGTTCTTCATTGTCTGTCTCAAGCTCCAGTAATAATAATGCTAGTAACAATTTTGGTGCTAATAATGCACAAAGTTTGGAGGAAAATGAATATAATATTATTTTAGCAAAGTATAAGGAAGATACTTCTCAAATCATGTACACAAAAATCCTCCTATTAAACTGAAAATGGAAAAATACCATAAAACAATAAGATCCAAAAATGCAGGTAAATCTGACACCTTAGCATGGTGGAAGCAGCACGCAACTGAACTTCCTATCTTTTCAAGTGTTGCAAGATCCTGGTTGGCAACTCCGCCAACCTCTGCATCATCTGAAAGAGCATTATCTAATGATAATGCTCTTTCAGAGTCTCGTATTGTGTCATATTGCTTATGTACCAATCGACATTGGTACATAAGCAATACGACGCAATACGAGACTATCATTCTCTGTATCATGTGGTATCAAACCGATACTGATAGTATTAACATTAGTATATAAGCAATACTAATAATGCGATACGAGACCATCCTTCTTGGTATCGACTACAATACGGATTATCTATTGTCTAATAGAAATATATACTTTTCATGGAACAAAATATTAAACATAGGGGTATAAGAAAATCAACAGTTGTTCAATTTCAAACAAAGAATTCAAAATTGAGAAAAAACAGAGTCGAGAGAAATGGAAAAAAAAAAGGTGTTTTGATAATATTTTGTTATAAATTAAAAAATTAAACTATCTACTTGATAATTAAAGATTGTTCTTGCATTTTTTTTTAATTTTATTAATATTTATAATTCATTATAAATTTTTAAAAAATTTATATTTTTATATTTCTTAGTTATTAAATATTTTTTTTATCACAATTTTTTAATGAACAAGTTTCATCTAATAAATGGTTTTCTAACCAGCATCGAATAGGAAGAAGGTATGAACTTTCAGTTAAATGCCCATCTAACTGAAAGTTCATACCATACCATCAAGGGTGCTCTGTAATAGCCCCCTTGGGGCACCTATTGTTAAAATTAAAAAATAATTAAAACAAAAAGTATTTGTTTTATCTGAAGATTTTTTTTAACAATATTTTAAAAAGATTAAAACATCTATCATTTTATCACTCTTTCTGCTTCCAAAGAAGTTGCTTGAATTCTGTGGGTGGCTTTTGGTTGGAGACTATTTTCTTTTGTTGCAAATAGTTGATCAAATGTTTTTGCAGCATAGACTTGAATATCTTTTTTTGGAAGCATAAAAAAATATGTGGTTTTTATTTTTAAAAAAATCAAGATTGTGCAAATATCGACTCAATGATACCAACATGTTTCTATGATTGTTAAAATTAGAACTGATGCCAGTTTCTATAACCTTTAATTTGCTAAGGTTTCCATTTGTGTCAGATTTAGTTATGGACCTAATTGAATATCCATCAAGAGCTGCTAACTTGGGAAGAAGATAGTTTAACGACATCTTAATCAAAGCTGGTCCAGAACTGTATGGTTTTTAATCTATTTTCTCGCAACTTTTGATATTTTCAATTAGGCTGTTTGTGCTGCTTTCTGGACAGGCTATTCTTTTATGACATTTTTTGCAATCTTCGTATTTCTTATCATTTACCACGAATTTATCAAAGTAGTTCCAAGCTTCCCAAACCATTTTTCGTAAAAACAAGGTTTGTACTGGTTAATGTTATACCTTTTAAGGAATGAATTTGAAAACTTGAGTGACAAACATAAAGAAGAAAGAACTGCTATGGCTTTATTAATTTGTCTTTTCTATACATTTCTAAAAACATTTTTCTAAAAACATAGCTAGGTTTCTTGGCACCAACACAGGTATATAGTTTTTCAGCATTTTATTAATAAGTTAGAAAGCTCATCATTAATTAAAGTGATTCAAAGTGTTAATATTACTTATTAGGATATTAAAGTTTACTGGCAAACAAAAAGGATTGAAGATTGAGATCTGCTGGCTCTTGAGCTGTTTCAAGCTCTCAGACATACCTGGTATCTAGATCCCACTTTAGTAGTTTTTGTCTTAAAATATAAAGAATGTAGGAAACATGGTGATATGGCTGGTGTGATGATATGAAAAGCTGTACAGTTTTAAATGTCCAAGTGACAGTTTTTCTTTAGAGCACCAGATAATCGATCAAGCTATATTGAATAGCCTCTGCTTTAATTAAAAATGAGCCTCTTAGTTTGACTCCATTAACAACAGTCAAGTCATTGCTAGTTTTTGACAGAAAACTAGCAATGACGAGTCATTGCTAGTTTTCTGCCTTTCCATGCTTAGGCATAGAAAGGCAGAAACTCAATAGGTGAAGGCTCTATTTTATTTAGCTAGAATAATATTTAGCTAGAATTTAGAGCAACAGTCAAGAGACTTGATGTTGTTAATCACTTCTCCGAGAAGGCAGTTAAATTAGTTCAAGGCCTTATAAACAGACTATATTCTAAGGAGAAAAGGCAGGGTCACTTTACAAATAATATTATAAAAAAAAGTAAAACAAAAAAAATAGATTACAAAAAATGTTGCTAAAACAAATAAAGTCTAGTTTATTATGTTTTTTTATTAATAAAATTTTTTTAAAGAGAATAGAGGGCATCATAAATTTACTGGGATTGCTGTATTTTAATTTAAAACAAATTTTATTTCTGATTTTTTTAAGTTTATTAATTAATTTTTTTTTTTTAATTTGAGTAAAAACTGTATGATTTTGACTATTAATTACAGAAAATATATCTTCATTCCCAAGCTCTCTTTTGTACATATTTTTCATAATAACTACTGAAGTTAATTATAATTGAGAAATTAATATAGTACTTTATTAAAAGTAAATTCTAAATATAATGTACTTTTATGAGTTTTAAGAATATATAAAAAATATTTTGAAAAAACTTTTTTTGAGAATAGAGCCTATTTTATTTTGATTAAATAAGTCTTTACAAACATGCATATAAAAAAAAATATTAGTTTTAACATTTCTTACAAACTGCTTTAAAAATGATACAAATTCCCTAAAAAATTCCTCTTTTACTCCCTGAAATGACCCTTACAATTTTCAAAAATTAAAAAAAAAAAATTTTAGTACTAAATAATAGTCTGGGCAGGTGATAAAGCTAAAGCTTTTTTTTTCAGACATGATCTTTTTTTGAAACATATATATATATATATATATATATATATATATATATATATATATATATATATATATATATATATATATATATATATATATATATATATATATATATATATATATATATATATATATATATATATATATATATATATATATATATATATATATATTTATATATATATACATATATATATATATATATATATATATATATATATATATATATATATATATATATATATATATATATATATATATAGTAGTGGCTATTGAATTAAGGCACCTTACGGTTTTTGGATAAATTTAGTATAACTTTGAATGTGCCTCTTAAATATGCAAAGTATTATATGTCAATGCCATTAAATGAATCAAATTAAAATTTTTCGCATATCTTTGTTTAAAAGACGTCATCAAAGCTTATTAAAGTTTATTTTTTAAAGTAAATTGTAAATAAATTAAATAAAGTAAATATGGGTAAAAATGCAGATTTGAGTGATTTTGTTAAAGGTCAAGTCATAACTTTGCATGGTGAAGGGTACTCACAAGTTGTCATTAGTAAATGTTTAGAAATATTGAGATGTGCTGTACAAAATATTATAAAATTGCATAAGAGTTCTAGACGTCAAAATTGCCACGGCGTTCGCAAAACTACACCCTGTGATGATCGATACCTGGAAAGTATTGTGCAAGCCAGTCCTCACGCTTCCTCTGCCCGAGTTACCTAATTGGCCACAGAAAGAGGCATTAATATTAGTGCCAGAAGTGTTCGCAGATGTCTGTCTACAGAATTTAAACTGCATGCGCGTAGACCAGCAAAGAAGCCATTTCTCACCAAGAAGCAGCTTCAGGCACATATGAAATTCTGTCGTGATATGAAAGACAAAACTGCTGAGTGGTGGACTACTGTGATGTTTACTGGCGAAAATACTTTCCAGCAGCTTCGTGGTTCAGGGTACAATTATGTTCGTCGACCGGTAGGTGAAAGACTTAACCCTAAATACGCTCTGAAGACCGTTAAACATCTGCCATCTGTTATGGTGTGGGAAGCACACCATAACAGATAAGCGTAGATGTGGAATCCATATCTTCAGTAAGAAGCGTAGATGTGGAATCCATCTCAGCTAAGCGTAGATGTGGAATCCATATCTTCAGTAAGGGCGTAATAGGTCAATGCTGCAAAGTATATACAGGTTTTAGAGTCAAAGGTTAAGACACATATGAACATTTCTAAAACTATCATCTTTCAACAAGACTCAGCACCGTATCATACTGCGAAATCAGTCAAGAAGTGGTTTCATGACAACGATGTGCAACTTTTGAAGAACTGGCCCTCAAATTTGTCTCATTTGAACGTTATTGAAAATTGTTAGAACTTAATGAAAGCTAAAGAATCAGCACTACGTCCAATGCCAGAGGAACATTTAAAAGATGTATTGAAGCAGGTGTGGGTAAATAAAATTACTTCAGAGTACTGTGACAAGCTTGTAAAAAGTATGCAGAATGATAAAGTTCCTTCTTTTTTTATACATTTTTTCTGATAACAAATTTAGTGATTCCATAATAAGTATGCATTTATAGCACTTATATCAACCATATTGTAGAATGCAAACAATGGCCATCTTCATGTCATCCATTTAACACTATTTATTTTTTTCATTTTGTCTATAGTATCTACACCTCCCTTTGTCTTTTTATAGTCCAAATTTCTTTTTTTTCTTTTTTTATGTTTTTGGTTAGTTCTGTCTACAGCAATACTATTATGCATTGTGGTAAGTAAAATAAATTCTTTTTTTCAATGCATATAAAGATGCATCGAAAAAAAGGGATATGATGTAAAGAATTTATCGTAAGTAATGTTCTGGCCATAACATTCAATTTATTTTGTCAATCTTTTGAAAACATTTTCACCTTGGCGTGTTTCTCTAACTTTTTTTTTGCAGGTATATACCTCTATTTTCATAATGTTAATTAACATAATGTTATGCATTCTTAAATGACCCAAAATTTAGTACCATATTTACCAGGTTTACTCAGAACATATTATCTAAATGGACATTTATCTCAGAATGCTAATAACTGTTCATCTATTTTTTTCTTCACTCAGAAGCATAATCAAATCTAATAATATGCAATATGCTTGTGAATTATTTACAACTCATAATATCATTAAATTATTTTCTTTCATTTTCTAAACTCCGCAATTCCCATATTTCCTCATTTTTTGATTTATAAACTTTAATGAGTAATAAAGTCATTAAAGTTAAATTACACACCCAGTTTTTCGAAAGTAGTACTTGAAGGAACAATTAAAGATTTTTTATGCTATAAAATTTAAAATTTAATATATATGTATTAAATTTTAAAAAATTGAATATATTTTTTATCTAATTTATGTTTCTTTCCTTTAAATAGTTTAATGAGCCATAATTAACTTCAATAATTTAGAAATAGTATCTTATTTTTTTACATTCATTTTATTATTTAAAGAGGCACAATTTGCCACCTATTTGCCATAATTTGCCACCTATTTTTAAATATTGATCAAATAACGATTATTACAATT